TTTTGCATTGCTGGGCTAGAACTCCACTTGGTCAGGATGTATTTATTCTGTTTATATATGAGTGTTAGATTCAATCTGCTGAAATTTCCTGAAGAATTTTTGCATCTGTGTTCATGAGAGATATTGGCCTGTCTTTTTCTTTTCTTGTAATGTCTTTGTCCAGGTTTGGTAGCAGGTAATCCTCGCCTCATAGAGTATGTTCGGAAGAATGTCATATTTTTCTGGTTTCTGGAGAGTTTGCATAGAACCAGTATTAATTTTTCTTTAAATATTTGTAGTGTTCTTCAATACAGCCATCTATCTGGGCCATGAGTTTTCTTGTAGGAAGGGTTGTCACTGTCTGTTCAATTTCTTTAGTTGTGTTACCCATTTTACCTATTTCCTCTTTTAAAAAAAAAGGATTTATTTATTTGACAGAGAGAGACATAGTGAGAGAGGGAACACAAGCAGGGGCAATGAGAGAGGGAAAAGCAGGCTTCCTGCTGAGCAGGAAGCCCAGTTCGGGGCTTGATCCCAGGACCCTGGATCATGACCTGAGCTGAATGCAGAGACTTAACCTACTGAGCCACCCAGGCGCCCCTACCTATTTCCTCTCGACTCAGCTTTGATATTTAGTGATTTTCAAGGAATTTGTCCATCTCATCTAAATTGTCAAATTTTCTGCCATAAGATTGTTCATACATTCTCTTAGCCTTTTAATGTCTATAGAATTTGCAATGTGTCACTTCTCAAATTTCTGCTATTATAATTCGTGTCTTCTCTCTTTATTGATCTTTAAAAACCAGGTTCTATTTTTGTTAATTTTCTCTATTGTTTTTCTGTTTTCTATTTCATTGATTTCTGCCTAGACTCTTAGTATTTTTTTCTCCTTACTTTGCGTATAATTTGCTCTTCTTTTTTTAGTTTCTTAAGGTAGAAGCTGAGGTCATTGATTTGAGATCTTTCTTCTCTTCTAATACTTGTGTCTAGATAATTTTTTTCCCTGGGTACTATGTTAGCAATAACCTACCAAATGTGATATATTGTGCTTTTATTTTCACTTAGTTCAAAATACTTTTTCATTTTCCTTTCTGTTTCTTCTTTGACCCACGAGTTATTTAGGAATATGTTATGTAGTTTTCACATACTTGGGGATATTCCAGAGGTCTTTCTGTTATTGGTTCTAATGCCATTCCCTGTGGTTAAAGTACATAGCTTATATGACTTGAATCCTTTAAAATTTATTGAAACTGTATTATGGACCAGGATATGGACCATCTTGGTAAATACTGCATGTGTACTTGAAAAGAAAGTGTATTTAGCTTTTGTTGGATAGAGTATTCTACAAATGTCAATTAGGTCAAGATGATTGACAGTGTTGTTTACTTCTGTATCTTTACTGATCTCAATCTACTTGTTTTATTAGTTATTGATAGAGAGATATTAAAGTCTTTGAGTAGGACTGTGGATTTGTCTATTTCTCCTTGCAGTTCTACCCGTTTTTGCTTCATGCATTTTAAAGCCCTGTTTTTATGTGATAAGTATTTAGGATTATTATTATCTTATTGATGAATTGACTTGTTTATTATTGTGAATTATTTTTAAATTTTCATTAATATTCGTTGTTCTAAAATAGATTGTGCCTGATATTAATATGCAAACTTTCTCTTGGATAGTATTAATGTGGTATATATTTTTCTAGACTTTTGCTTTTAACCTATTTGTGTCATAATGTTTAAACTATACTTCTTATGGGCAGCATATAGTTGGGTTACCTCAACTTGGAGAATCTGCCAGACTCTGCCTGGATTTCCCCTTCCTGTGTCCTGGCCTGAAAACTCTCTAGGCAATAATAGGGTGCCTTTTGTTTATTTCCCTTCTGTCACAAGACAGGCTTTGGGCTAGGGTGAGATGAGTAAGGGCCCTAGGGTACAAAACTTAAGAAGATAATTGCTCTCTGATGCACGGTTTTCATAATGGATTTCTCCTTAAATCTCTTTAAATCTTAGGTGTCTCAACCTTAAGAAGACACTCACAGAGTTGTGCAAGTACAGGTACCGAGAGTCATTAGCTCAGCCTAGTCCTGACCCTACCGAAGGCTCATTGTCCTTCATTGCCTGATGGCCATTGTCTTCAAAAGCATTTTTTAAAAATCTATTTTGTTTGGATTTTTTATTATTTCAGTTGGGAAAGTAAATTCAGTCCCTGTTACTCCACCTTTTCTGGAAATGGAAGTCTGAACTTAATCTTTATGAGATAAAAATCTCACCTATAGAGCTCTCTGAATGAAATAGAAATGTTTTGGGGCCTCCTTGCAAAGAATTCAGCCAAAAATTGGTCTTCCTTTATTCAATAGACAATCGATAAGGAGCTACTATTTACCTTATTCTGGGCTAGGAACTGGGGTTAACATCAAATAAGACTTGGTACCCGTCTAGGCATTGCTTACAGCTGGTGCTTTGGAACTCTTAGATTGGCTGTCTCATGCCACGCATCATCTGTGACATGGGTCAGGGAAGGCAGAGAGCCAGATACAGTCAGATGTAGAACTGACTGCTCACCCCTATTAATTGCCAGGCCCATAATGGCTCAGGAGCTTACTTAAGCTCACATTGCTATGTAGTCTTATTTTGAGGGAGATCGGATCTAACCCCAAATACCCTCCTTTACTGCCAGTTACTGTGACTGAAATCCCACCATTGGAAGCTCATTCATTAACAGGGGGTACCATGTCTTCTTTGTGTTTCCATTTTTCAGTGTTGGCTCAGAGCCTGCTACAGGGTAATCAATAGATGAGAATGAATGAGTGAAAAAATGAATGGATGAGTGAAGGAATGAGTGATAAATGTTAAAATGATGAACATGTCCCTGGGAGGTGATTTAGGTTATTATCTGTTGGTGACAGACCATTAAGAGTAAGGCCATAGCTGGGACCCATGATAGGAAGGCAATGTGGTATAGTACATAAGGTCTCTAACTATACTAGACCTTGATCCAAGTTGTTTAACCTTTCCCAAACTCAGTTTCCTCATCTGTATGATGAGGATGAGGATTTTAATCATACTTACCTTACAGAGGGATATCAGGTTCTATCAGGATAAAGTATGTTAAGGGGCTGACAAGAGAAAACCCTCAAGGAATGAGAGGTGTTATTAGTCCAGTCTTCTGAGAACAGCAGGTGGCAATGGGGTAGGGACTACTGGATGGCAAAAACCTTGAGATAGTCCTGGCTAGGCAGCAGAAAGACATAGGCAGCTCTGCGCATGCATTTAGAGAAGCTCAGATGTTACCATTGTTATTATCCCAAAGCCCTTCCTAAGCTCAGAGTTGCACGTAGATGTTCTGGGCAATACACATAAGCTGAACAGAAACAACTCCACTCTCTTGGGACTGATAACTAAGGCAGTTAGTTCCCTCTGGGGAAGAGAGAATAAGAATGTTAAATCTGTCTATGATTAGGTAATGGGTAGTTCACACTTTGTAGGGATGAAGAGAAACACTCAATTCCCAAGGAGTGGGGTGGCTGGTCAGAGGAGTCCGATGGGAGCCCATCATCCTGCCAGATGGAACGAGAAGGAGAAGTCGGCTGTACCTTATCTGGGTTCTGCTTCACACAGTGCATCCCTAAGACCAGGAGTCATCTTCTAGTTCTGGGCCCACAGCCCAGACACATCTGGCAGGTGGAAAATGTTGACTGAAATCATAGATTATTTTGGACTTATGGTGTAACTGAGCCAGACCCCTGGGCTCAGATAATCAGACAAATTCCCCTGCTAATACAGTGACTTTTCCATCTTTTTTCTGAGCATGGCACAAGAGACACAATTTAGAACTTCATTTTCTGCATTTCCCCTAAGTGCATTACAGTGTGTATCTGTGTTTTAATTTTAACATTCAAATACTATCAAGTACTGAAAATGTGGACCTAGCCTACTTCCAGAAAGTCTTGAGATAGAAAACTCCAAGGATTGTGATATTGCCTTTCATCATATTAACCCAATTTTTGTATTAAGAAAAATTTCTTCAGTTGAAATTTCATAAACTTACAGACAGAGGTAGAAGGGACCTTAAATACAAATAGGTCCAGTCTTGTCATTACACAGATGAGGAAACAGAGACCAGACAAGTACTGACTTGTTCAAGGTCACCTAAGGAGCTGAGTCCAGACCAGACGCAGGTTTCTGCAAACCTTCTTCTACAGCATCATATCGCAATGCACCCCTTGAAAAGACTCCTGGAGGGGCTTTCAAAATCAGATCAGTGCATAGGATTTGTGATTCTGTGTTGGCTGGAGACAGCCCTGGGTGTCCCCCAACTACACCTGGCAAGTCCAGGAGAACAGGTAGCTCCTAGCGGACCTGGCACACTTCCATCCATCAGCTCTCATCTGCAGGCTCACGGACCCCGAGGAGGTCTGCAGCATGAGCTAGGGGCTCACCAAGAGCTTGTTGATTGTGAATGACCTAGAAGATGCTGCATCTGAGTGAGGAGGGTTGTCCACCCTTGGGAGTGCTGAAGTGTCAGGACAATATAGGATTAAGAGCAAATACACGTTCAATAAGCTTGGATCTAAATCTCCTTTTTTGCATTACCTTGCTCTTTGGCCCTGGTCAAGTCACTCCAATGTCTGAGCATCAATAACGGGATGATGATGATATCTATTTCAGAAGGATGTGAGAAGTAAGTGAGAAAATGTGTATAGGAGACCGAGGCCTGGCGCCTGCCTCCGAGTGAACATTCAATAAATGGTAGCTCGTCTAGCAGGATCTGTTTCGTCGCTGTCAGTTTAAATGGGGAGAAATTGTTTTCAGGCTTCCTCTACCCACCCACCTCCTTTCAATCTGGAAAACTCTGTTTTCTTTTCCCCCCTCTTCTTTCTCTGATGGGCTAGCTAATCTCTTTGTGATCACAGCACATTCCCCTTTGTCCTGAGCTGCTAATGAGGAGGTGGCTGCTAAGAGAGGCGGGCACCCTCACTCCATCCACACCACACCACTGTCTCTTTCATCTTCTGTGTTCAGGTTCTGCAAAGACTTGAAGAAACTGACAAACCCGGATGGCTACCCCTGACAGGAGAGTGGTCTCTAGACACCAGAGACCTGGCCAGGATGCAAAGGAGAGTGGGGCCTGCCTGGGTCCCCTTGAGGTGGCACTGCGGAGCAAGGCATGGGAATTCTTTCAGACCTGCGACACAGAAGGCAAGGGCTTCATCGCCAGGAGGGACATGCAGGTAAGAGTCTTGCCCACCTGGAATGCCAAATGGCATGGGTCTTGGGTTAAGGGGCAGAAAAAGAGGCTGTGTACTCTTCCCTGGAAGGAGGCGTTAGACCAAACTCTGCTGGGAGCCAGATGTCCTGGGTTCGCTCCCTTTCTGGCCTTTGCTTGCCGTCAGACCCGGAGGTTGTTTCCCCTCTCCGACTCAGTAACTCCCAGGACTGTGGGAAATGGCGACAGCATCATAAGGGACTTGGGTAAGACATGGCGGAGAACCTTCAGAGACAAAGTGGAAAGGCACCAGCCTGTGGCTTCACAGCAGAGCCCCTAGCTATGCCAGGGTGCTGTGTGTGCGTTCGGAGCAGGCCCAGTGACAGGTGCAACGGCAGGAGGGGAAGGCCCTTCTGGAGCTCCTCTTATCTGCCCCTCGTCCTCACGCCCACTGCACTCAGCCCCTTGTCAGTAGGTCCCAAGAGAGATACTGCCGAACCCCAGTGCACACCATTGCCTGGCGCAGGGCTCAGCAAACTCTCTGTAACAGGCTAGAGAGTAAGGATTCCAGATCCTGTGGGCTGTGAGCACCGCCATGACCGCTCAACACCATGTTGCCCCTCGAGCTGCCACAAGCAGCATGTAAACAGATGAGCTCAGCTCTGTTCCAATAAAACTTTATTTATGGACCCTTGAAATTTGAATTTCATACGATTTTCACGTGTCACCAAATATTCTGCTTCTTTTTTCAACCGTTTAACATGATATTGTATGCCTGAAACTAAGACAACGTGGTATATTAATTATACTTGAATAAAAAATGTAATAAAAATATAAAAGCCATTCTTAGTCCCTGGCCATAAAAAAAAAAACAGGTGGTGGGTCCGATGTATAGCTCGGGGGCCTAGTTTTGCCAACTTCTCATCTAGTGCCTTTCGACCATTCGTGTCAAAAGCTTACTCTGGGGTCTTAAGTCCTTCATGCCGCAGTCATGATTTCAACTGACACGAGTAAATAAAATGCGTCCTCAACCAGAACAGGCTGCGAGCAGCGCTTCCCCAGCCTTCCCATCATTTGCTTGGTCAAGAGCATTTTGGGGAGCGGGGAAGGGATACATAACCGAGCTGTTGGAAGGAAAGTCTTGCAGTGCTCAAGTTTCCTTTTTTTAAAATTTAGCTTTTCAGAATACACTGAGTATGAGCAGGGGGATGTAGACCCTGGTGGGCACCAGCCCCGTGTGGGCTCACACTTGAGAGCTGTGAAGAGCTGACCTGTCAGAAAGGCGGTGGGTCTTTCTCTCCCGAGCCCCAAAGGATGGTGTTTTCAGGCTTCGGGTGACCCCAGAACTCTTCCACCATACAATAGCTGCACAAATTCAGGGAAAAGACCCGGAGGATGGGGCCCGCTTAGCCTGCAAGTGAGCTCAGAACACCCTTGTTTTCAGTAGTTGACCCCGCAGTGTATTTCTGTCACTGGAACTCATTCCCCAAATCGCACTCCCCATGGAAAGTCAGACTCAACGTGCTTTGAGGAAACCTTGATCTGACGTACCCTGTCTGTGAACTTTGTAATCGCCTTCATCGGTCTGTGGTCGTGGTGGCTGGTGGTGGCAGTTTTAATGGCGTGCTTAACTTTTGATTATCCCTTCTGGAAAGAAGAGGGAATTCGCATTTGCCAAGGGTCAGTTCTGGGCCATATGCCTGGTGCAGCTCAGCACTTTGCTCTGGATATATCCCAGTTAAGCCCGCTGAAGCCCACTTTTTAATGAAGGGAGGAAGAGGCGTGGTAAATTTAAGGTATAAAGTGTAAATTGTAAAACATCCTTTGTATTTGACCCGGAAGGATCAAGCTGAAATAAACATTGAGTTCCAGAGATACCGACTCAGCTGCATTCCTCCTCCGTCCTCGCTCCCGACCCAGGCAGGAGAAGGGGAGAGACGTCCTACCTGGCATCCATGGCATTTATTCCTACCATCTCCTTTTTTCCCGAAGCTTCTATGTACTGTGGACAGTGAAGCATTTGTAATGTTTAGTTCTGTCGGCTGAGAAAGTGCCATTAAGAGCAGTTCTGTTGCTTTCCTGTCTGGGGGAAGATGGGCTGGAAAGAAATACGGGGAGAATCATAACCCACTCCTAGCCATCCTGGGCTCTCTGTGGAAACCCTGTGTGCCCCCCGGTCCACCTGGGCATAACCTCCAGGCATCTGTCTGTTGCCCATCACTCCTGCACAAAGCTGCTTTGACAGGAGGTCACCCTACTTTGGTTGGTGACCATCTTCTCAGACCTGGCTGCCACCACCTTGCTCACCCTCAGCTCCCAGCCCAGCCTCACAGGAACTGGGAGAAGAGCTCAGAAGGTACACACACACACACACACACACACAGAGATCTAGCCACCAGGAAAAACCCTCTGAAGCAGGGAATGGCTCTCAAGGAAGGAGAGGCCATGATCTACCTGGCAGGGCCAACCTAAGGGCTAGAAGAAGCGCTTGGAGAAGCAGAGTTGGAACAAGCCCATTCCACAAGACTGCCACAGTGTCTGAGCCCTGGCAGTATGGAGCCAGCCCACTCGGATAGAGCAGGGACCATAGAAGGAAAGGAGCAGAGTCCAGGAGAAGCTTTTTCCTTTGAGGACCCTGGTGCAACTTGGAGGGACCCGAGGCAGGCTGCACGGAGGGCAGGGGTGCAAGCCTTATGCTCAGGCTCCAGGTGCAGACATTCTACCGTAGGGTCGGCGGATGGCAGAACCAGCCTGTGTGAACAGACTGGAGGCAGCGGTTTGAGAAATCTCCCTCCATCCTCTAGGAAGAACTTCCCTGGGTTTCGTGGGGATTACTCCAGGGCAGAATTGGGGTGAAGACTGCTTTGTGGGGTGAAGTCTGCTACAGTCCTAGACAAGCAGAGTCATGAGGCTGAGGGCCCCAAGCAGAAGTCGGTCCTGCCTCCAAGGGACAGAGAGACAGGAGAAGCCAGGTTGGAGGGCATGAAAGAACTCTTTCAGCCCAGAGAGGGAGACAGGGTCAGCATGGGCAGGAGGTCTCTCTGAAAAAACCTAAAGCCTCAAAAACTCTGTTTCCTTGATTTTTCCGAGTGAAATGATGACCTACCAAGGCCAGGTACCTGCCTCCCAACACTGCCTAGAGTTCCTAGACTAGCCAAACTGTTAAAAATAATCTAGGAGTTGGCAAACCAACCAAATAGGTCCTATTTGTGCAAATAAAGTTTTATTGGAACGCAGTTCTGCTCCTTCATTTGCAAAGCGTTCCCAGCAGCTTCCTGTTACAATGGCAGAGCTAAAGAGCTGTGACAAGGACCCAGGGGCCTGCACAGCCTAAAATATGTACTATCTAGTCCTTTACAGAAAAAAGTTACATGGTTCCTGGTTTATGTTAACAAGAAGACTTTCTAGGATTTTTAGAGCAAATTGCACCAAGTTTTAACCCTGAATCTGCAAATTCACGTAGTAGTGGTATGTGAATTTGTGTGAGTCTCTTAAGCCCCCTGGGCCATAGTTCCTCATCTGTGAATTATTTATAGTGCCTCCCAGCATTAGAAGAGAATTAAATGAGTGTGTGCACAGAGAGCACTTGGCCCTGAGAATAGGACCTGGAAATCCCTCCATAAATGTACATGCATGTGTGTTGGGAGAGTGAGGTGGGGATTCACGCCCCATGTCTTATCTCAGTCCTAGACGTCCTCCACACTGTGATTTTTTAAAATTGTGGCAAAGTACACACCACATGAAATTTACCATCTTAACCCTTTATAGTGTGCAGCTCAATGACATTAAACACATTCACGTTATACATCCTTCACCACCGTCATCTCTAGAACTCTTAGCATCTTCCAAGATGGAAGCTCGGCGCCCATTAAACACTAACTCCCATTGCCTTCTGCCCGCAGCTCCTGGCAACCACTGTTCTACTTTCTGCCTCTATGAATTTGACTACTCTAAGTTCCTCGTATAAGTGGGGTCACACAGTATCTGTCCTTTTACAACTGGCTTATTTCACTTGGCGTGATGTCTTCAAAGCTTATCCATGTTGTAGCAAGCCTCAGAATTTCCTTCCATTGTAAGGTTGGCTAATAGTTCATTTTACCTGTCTGAATACCGCATGTTGCTCGTCCTTTCCTCCCTCAGTAGACACTTGGGTTGCTTCATGCCCTTGTATGAAAATAGCGCTGCTATGAACAAGGGTGTGAAGTACTCGGAGTCCCTGATTTCGGTGCTTTGGGGATGTAGCCAGAAGTGCAATTGCTGGATCATAAGGTAATTCTATTTCTAATTTTTTTAAGAACCACAATACTATTTTCTAGAACAGCCAAACCATCATACGTTGATTTTAAGTGCAAGTTGTCTTATGCTTCCTTAGAGATAAGGAAAAGGCGCTCATGCTGAAGAAGGAGCCGTCCGCTCCTCCCCAGCTGGTGCTGTGGTTGTTCGTGTCTGGTCTACACCACTGGGGCCATTTTGCTTCTTAGAGGACATTTGGTGACGTCTGGAGATATTTTCGACTGAAATGACTAAGGAGGGAGGTGTTACTGGCCTCTGCCGCTGCATATCCTATAATGCCCAGAACAGCCCCCCTCCATCCCGCAACAAAGAAGGAAGCATCCAAGATCTCAATAGTGCGGAGGTTAAGAAAACCTAGGCTACACCGAACAGCCGGAGCCAAGCACGTGAAAGCACAAAGCTTTAAAGGTAGATTTCATCTCTTGTACCTCGAATTCGCATCATGAAGATGTTTGGTACGAGAAGAGAGTGGTTGGTGCTGAAATGGAGATCCAAACAGGATGTCGTAGAAGCCTCCAAAGGAGGGAGACTTTAATTCTGGCTGTAAAGTTGGATTTCTTCTGGTTCTCTCTCTCTCTTTTAAAGATTTTATTTATTTGAGAGAGAAAGAGCATGCACAAGCAAGGGGGGGGGCAGATGGAGGAGCAGACTCCCCATCAAGCAGGGAGCCCAACTCGGGACTCAATCCCAGGACACTGAGATCATGACCTGAGCTGAAGGCAGACGCCTAACCCACTGAGCTACCCGGTGCCCCTGGTTTTCTCTTTAATGAGTTTCCCAAAAACTTGTTGGAGGCTGTGCACCCATTCATTTTCAGCCGCAAAATGCGTGCTACTGGTCTTGTGGCCAGGAAGGTTAGGGGCTCCGGCTGATGAGCAGCAGAAGACAACATTTCTCCGTGGTTCTGTGAGTCCCAGCCATTGGCACTGCTGCAGGATTGCTTCCTGTTCCAGGTCCTGGAAAACATCCCATCTACAAGACCTTGCCGAGAATCAGCAGGTGTGCTCCTGGTCACAATCGGAAGTATGAGAGTCCAGACCAGTGCTCCCTAGATAAGAGTTCGGGGTCTCCTGCCATCACTCTTAGCACATTCAACAAGTATCTGAATACTCCACGTGGGTCAGCACTGAGCTCCCTGGGAACAGGATGGTGAGTGAAAATGAACGGGGTCCCTGCCTCAGAGCTTCCAGTCCAGTGAAGGAGCAGACATTCATCAACTAGTCGCATCTATCAGGATACAAAATACAAGCTGGCCCGAGACCGGTGAAAGAAGGAACTTGTGTTTGGGGGACTCCCACAGCCTGGCCTGCCCCGGGGGCTGCAGAGCCTGAGTGGGGCAGGATTTCAGAGCCAGCTTGATGGCAGTGGAGGGAGGCAGGTCTGCAAGAAGCAGTGGGGTTCTACAGAGCTCCGTGGGCATGGGACGTGTTGGCATAAAGAAGGCGAGCTGACTTCCTCCCCATGGCTCCTCCTTCCCCCGCCCGCCCTTCCAGATGGGAATGGAAGTGAAACAGGAGGTACAAAGCAAACAGGATCTCTGGAAGCCTGGGGCATGGCGCTGCTGGCAAGAGAGACTTTTGGTGGTAGCTGGGTAGGCGGGGAATGGTTAATGCCCAGTAGGGAACTCCAGAGAGAACATGGTAGAGGACCATTTGACGGTAGCTGAGGCCCTGAATGCAAAATCAACTCTTTAATCCCAGCGCTGGTCTCCACTGTGACTTTAGGCAAATCTGGAGCCTTGCAGGCTAGCCAATAGGTGGAATGAATCATCTTGTCCCCCTTCACTCCGCTTACCTCAGTTGAAAATGTAGACACCAGGTGCCCAGGGGACAAGACCAGAATGAGCTGGTTTTACACGGCTTGCAGGTTCTGAGAACAGAGATAAATAGATGATTATGGTGATTAAGAATCACAGGAAGGAAAAAAAAAATCACAGGAAGGGTAAGAACTATAGGGAGGATCTAATATCGTTTCCCCAGCTTCACTGACAGCAGAAAGAGGAAACCAGCCTGAGTTGTAGACCAGAGAGCCTGGGATTTGGTGATGGAGGGATTTGTGCTAGACTCAGGAATGGAGCCTAAAGGTGGGGTATGACAGCTAACGAGAGGAAGTGTCCCCACATGTGGGATGGTTTTGGTGAAAGGCAAAGGTAGGGTCCCACCAACCTCGGTAGCCCCCTTGCAGCCATTTCTAGCTCTAGCACACCATGGATCAGATTCGGCGACCGCAGGCTGGCAGCGGGGAGGGAGGGAGGATGGCCCCAAGGAATGGACCAGAGTCCAGAGTCGCTCGGGTTTTGACTCTCCTTCCCATGTGATGCCTTTGGTTTCCAATAGAGCTAATAAGCTTCCTCCTTGTAAAATTGACTCACTCCTCACCCCACATTCTCTTATTGTGGCTTTTGAGACAGCTGGTTTATGGATTGTTGATAAGCCGGCGATTCTGCTGTATGCTAAGCAGAGGCACTTCTAGAATCTTTGCACACACTCTCACTCCCTTCCTTTCTAAAAAAACTCATTCATATTTAATTCAGTTCCCCTAAATGGCTTCCACATCATCCTATCTTCCCACTTTGCATCGCAGTCTCCCTTAATGTACGACCTGCCAAATTAAACTTTATGGCTTATGAGCTAGAAGATTGCCATAGGATCAAGCCAAGTATTCTTGCAAGTTATGTTATGGGCTTTCACACCTGCCAGCTCGTTTTCATTGTTCAGATGGGTATTTATCTTCCTTCCTACAGCCCCGTGTTCCTTGTCTTCAGCTGTCAATCACTTGCATGCGGGCAATTTTGTATAGCTGTCCCTTAGGTAACAGGGAGGAAGGGGGAGGGTCAGCTGGGCCATAATGAACTCCCTTGGGGAGTCCTCGTTTGGAGACTTAGGTTATTAGGGTCTAAGAGAACACTCGCTTCAACGATGCAAATCAGCCTTGGCCTGGGGCCACGGCACATCAGGCAGAAGGCCAGAGGGAAGCATCAGGAACTCAGCCACTGGCTCCTCATCCCAGCAGCTGGTCCCTGCCCTCCCATCCTGTGTGGTCCTAGTCAGGCCAGGATTCAGCTTCAGGGTTGATTTATAACTTCCTTGCACACTGTCTTGTCCAATTCCCCTTTAGAACACACATGGTCTCGTGGGGGTTGATCCCTTAGGCCAGGGGCAGTTAACATCCTTTCGGGAATTAGTTGAGAACCAGTAGGAAGCAGAAGAAGGGAGCACAGCCTGGAGTGACGGGTGTGGGTCACTTACACGGAAGAAGGGGGCTTACCCAGCATCCCCTCGGAGCTAAAGGATCGAAATGCGTGTCCACAGAAACTGACAAACTTGATGCTGGGGCCCGGGGATCATGAGTTCCATCATGCGGGGATCATGCGAGCTCCATCAGGGAAGGCTTCTGAGAGTGTGACCCCTACCCCCATCCTAGCAGGGGAGCTAGCATGGCGGGGCGGCAGGGGGTTGCGTGGGGAGAGTAGCGAAGACTGACAGTGAAGCCTCACTCCTCTGTCACTCACTGGCTGAGAGGCCTTGGTGGGTCAGTGGATCTCTCTGTCTCTCTCACCTTCTCTGCCTCTCTACCACCTTTTATTGAACATGCACTGGGCCTTGTCTTTATGTTTACTCCCTCGTTTCACCTGACACTGTGTCACGCAGCTATTATCCTACCACGGGAGTCCGTTCTGAACCTTTTCCATCCTTTATGGTTGTGAGGAGGGCCAGCTTTGGAGTCAGACCTGGATTTGACTCCTGGCATTGTTACTTATAGGCTGGGGGACCTTCGGGCAGGGAACTTGAACCTCACTCTTCATCTATAAGGTGAGTTAATAATGCCCACCTAAAGGATTGTCATGAGAATTAAATACAAATACACCTGTTTATAAACATATTGATAAACATGTATTTATTTATAAATCTAGCAAACTGCCTTGCACACCAGTAGGCACCCAATAAGTAGTCGTAACATTCAAGGGAGAGATAAGGGCGGTAACGGGGTCTTTGTAGGACAGAGCCAACTCTAGACCCTTCCAGCAGCAAGCTCTGTAGTTCCAGGCCGGCCCTCCCTGATGATCTGAATGTTGACCACCGCAGTCTGGATTGTTTTCAGAGGCTCCATGAGGAGTTACCACTCAGCTTGGAGGAACTGGAGGATGTGTTTGATGCCCTGGATGCTGATGGCAATGGCTTTCTGACGCCAGAGGAGTTCACCACTGGATTTAGTAAGTTCCGATGGGTGCTGGGGCCCCAGGATATTCATCTACCTAAAGCTGTGAGAGGTTCCCGCGTCCACCACCAGATCTGTAGTCTGTATAGCCCAGGCTTCCTTGCCCTATGGAAGTTTCCAGGCTCTGGATTATTTGGGCCTCCTTTCTGTGTCCACGTCGGCTGTTTGTACCACTGTTCTCTCCATGCCCACTACACGGTCATGGCCAGATCCCCTCCCACCTGAGAAGGGCAAGCTTGGCATAAAAGGGGGAGCCAAGGGGCACCCGGGTAGCTCAGAGGGTTAAGCCTCTGCCTTCGGCTCAGGTCATGATCTCAGGGTCCTGGGATCGAGCCCTGCATCAGGCTCTCTGCTCAACAGGGAGCGTGCTTCCTCCTCTCTCTCTGCCTGCCTCTGCTTACTTGTGATCTCTCTCTCTGTCAAATAAATAAATAAAATCTAAAAAAAAGGGGGGGAGCCAAAATGGCATTTCCAGCCTCTACATCTCCTTTCCTTTCGATGACAACAGTGTGCAACACAGTGGGACGGCTGCCTGGTTCATTTCAACCTGGGTCTGGCTGAGTCTTCCAGGTTGAGGGGAGCCCACCACCAGAGGAATTTCTAGAGGATTTGAATAGAGCAGTCATTTTCAAGGTACCCAGGAGGAAAGAGACAGAGATTCACGAACAAGATTGAGAAACCAGATACCCATCTGATGAGATACTGATCAGATATCGATCAGAGCAGGGACCAGTATGGGTCAGCAGACAAGTTTCACCACACATCTGCCTTACACGAAGTACCGTAGAGTTTGCTCGGAAGAACCCGAGGCTCCTCCTGAGCTCTAGGAGCTTGCAGTCGCCTTGAGAGTATAAGACAGACTACCGTGTGTACAGGCAGTGTGAGTATGGAGAAGGCGCACCCAGAGTTGCGGAGTCACTTGTAAACGTGGACCACCGTGGTCCTGGTGGTGGCAATGGCTCGACGATGTCATGGAGCAGTCAGGCTGCTGCTGGAGGTCGATGGAGGGGAGGTTCTGGTTGTGTAGAGAGGAAATCAAGGAAGACATGAGCTCTAAGCCATACTTCAAAGGTTCGAGGACCACAAAGGTGCCATAACACTGACCTCCATTCCCAGGCTCTAGCATGTCTCAGAATCCCATGGAAGTGACAAAGTCCCCAAACCCAAGAGATGGTGTCCAAAATGTATGCTGTAGTGGGGGGGGGGAGCTCCCCTTTTCTTCTCTCAAATGAGCCTCCGGTGATTTCCGGCAACTAAGAAGGAAAAGGTCTTCCTGGGTGAGTATTTACGGATTGCCCGATTCAGATCCTTGTGCCGTGTATCCCCCAGGTCACTTCTTCTTCAGCCAGAATAAGCTGGGTCAGGAAGAGGCGGGTGAACAGGTGGCCCGGCTCCAGGAAGAGAAGGTCTATCAGTCCAGAGGGGGAGAGCACGTGGGCGACACAGATGAAGATGAAGAGACCCAGTTTCAAACGCTGATGGACAGACTTGGAGCCCAGAAGGGTTTGGAAGAGTAAGTGGCAACAGCGATTGGGGGGGGTGGGGCTCCGCCCAGGAGCCATCCTTCATCTGTCCATGCAACATCCACCTTTGTTCAGAGCTCAGCCAGCCCCCAGGTTCTGGGCAGCCAGCTAGAAGACTTGCTCCATACAGCCTGCCCTTGGCGACACTTGTCTCTGCTTTTTGCATTTTCTCTTGGGAAACGGTGCTCAGCCCCTATCCTCCCACTCTCCTCACTCCTACCATATGACATCAGCACAGTCCTTGGCTCCCTGAGGAGCGCCAGACCTGGAGGGGCTCTCTGTGCATTTTGCTGGGGTTCCCCCATCCCTGCCAGATCACCAGCATCCTCCTCCCCCCAGAGCCAGCCCCGGGTCTCAGGGGCTGCAGGACATCCCAGCCTGCCCCACAGTGGCATGCTCCTGGCCGAGGCTCCTCACGTGGCGGCATTTGCCCACCGTGCCCTGGAGCCAGAGCAAACCCGTCAGGAAGCTGAGGCAGGAAATTAACCAGTTTTTACCAGCCCACCTCTTGGATAATCAGCAACTCAGCTGAAAATTTCAGATGGCTGGAACTTCAAATAAAACATAATACCCCATTTTTTTTTCCAAAATGCATCTGACATTTAAAATGAAATGAAATAAAAATAGGATGAAATAAAATAAAAAGTGAGGTTGCAGCTGGTGGAAACCAGTGGCCTAAAAACGTGGAACACTGTTCTCCCTTTTCCTGTTGCCTTTCGCCTTTCCATTTCTGGGCCTCTCGGTCTTGGCTTGGATGTGTGTTGCAGGAGCGGGAATGGCCTAACGATTGGAACTCTGATGCGTCTGGAGCTTGGGAGGAGAAGGAACTGTGGTTGAGGATGATAAAGAAGTGGCAGGAAAGGAGGGGCCTGCACACAACACGCAGGCCAGAGCAAGAATCTGTCGCTCTGTGGATTTTTGAACCAACAATTCGGTAGACTGCGTCAGAGTTGAGAAAGGACAGGCGGAGGCCTGGGAGAGAGCGCAGGGAGACGCCCTGGATGGGCAGTGCACTTGCCCCCGGGGCGGGGGTCGATCCCAGGATCCCAGGATCATGACCTGAGCAGAAGGCAGACGCTTAACCATCTGAGCTCATGGACGGGGGCAGGTGGGTGGGAAGCATGGTAGTCAGACACCCCACTCAGCTTCTCTGAGGACAAGATGCCAGAACCCAGGGACCACTCAATGACCCCGGGAAGCCTCCTCCTAGAGGAGCAGGAGGAGAGGGCAGTGTGGACAAGCCATGGCACTGTCATGAAAGAGAGGCACCTCTCCACCCACCCGTCCCTTTTGGGCCAGCCCCCTTCCTGGCAGGGCTCTCAAAACAGAGTTCACCCGATGTTCCTCAGAGGGCCTGTCAGAGGCCAGTGAGTTGCTGAGCCAGCATGAGACATCCTGGAAGAGAAGGCTCTAGGGAAGGCTTCAAGGGTGGTCACAGAAATTGATATGCAGAAGATGGCAGCCAGCAATCTCCATCCCGATGGAAGCCAAATGGAAGGCAGGGGGCAGGTGTTGCAAGAGGGGGATGGCAAGACCACCAGGCCCCAGAGAACATAAAGGAAGCTGTGAAGACTTCGGAGGTCTTCAAAGATTCACTCCCGAGAATGGCTTGTGTGTTGTTCTGGAAGCAGGCAGGTGGGTAAGCTGACCTCCTAGAATCCTGTCTAGCCCTGCTCCCTTACACCCTTCCACAAGGAGCAGAAGCGGTAGACCAGGTGTCTGGACTCCCGGTAGTCCGACTGGTGGAGTGATTTGGCAACTTATGGAACTTGGCTTATTTTTCATCAAGAATTGACAGATTTGTCCCTTCTCCAGAAATCTGGTGGGGAGGTAGTGTGGCCATGACGAGGTGGTTCAGAGAGCTTTGGAAGAGGGTCGGGTGGGTCTGCAAATCTCACTGGAGGCTCTAGCCAACTGTCTGTCCCGGCAGGAACTTGACAGATGTGAACAGATAGACCGAGGTGGACCTTGATTTTATAACTCGTGTACATCATGAGGGCATCAGTCTGCCCCAGCCATGGGAGGCCATCGTCATATGTCTCTGGGATCCTTGTATCGTATCATCTCCACTGTATCTACAGGACAACAAAGTTCTGGGAACGGAAAAGCTCCTCCCTCCCCATCCCTTGTTTCCTGGATCACCTCTTGTCCTCTCAGCGCTGGGTTCCAACAAATAGGAAGTACTCATTGGGTGGTGGGTGGACGAGTGTTCCAGATGAGCTGGAGGATAGCAAGGGAAGGAAGGAGGGAGGGGCAATGGATGGACGATCTGACAACTAAGCAGGGGTAGCTTCCCTTCTTGGTGGGCCTCCCTGTACTGGGAGCGGAGAGTGCTCTCTGGGGCCCAGGCCCCTTGCTAACCTGGCACTGGCAAGTATTACTTCTGAGGAAAGTTGCTCAAATATAGGACTCGTCACACAGGAACAGAAAGGACTTCATTCTTTATCCTGAGAGTTCCCGGTGGTAGCTACCCTCAGATCGTAGTGGTTTCAGAATTTAATGGGCTGCAGACCAGACTGCTCTCAGGCTCTGCGTGATGGTTGGCCATAGATTTTCGAGTTTCTCCAGAGACGGAGTGCCTGGTCCCCAGTGTGTGCCGCCGCCTCCTTCCTCCTGTCCCCGATCAGCGAGGCCCCGTCTGTCTCTGTTGCTCTGCGGTACGCACCTGCCCAGTTAGCTGGGGCTGGGGCTGGGGAGGGGAGGCTCTGGGCATGTCACTCTGTGTCTTTGTCTCTCTGCCTGCCTGTGTCCCTGCCAACTTTCTCTTTGTCGTTCCGTGTGTGCACACACGCGCCTTGCAGATTTGCACCTTCCCTTCCTTCCGCCTGTCAGTCATTCCCGGTGCCACTGGGCCCCAGTGGGGTGCTGCGTATTCTCTCCCGTTCCCCATGGTGACAATTGCTTTCTGCCATCCATCAGATGGCATGTCTTTACCTCTCAGCTGTGAGGACCGTCCTTCCTGGGGCGACAAGCTCTCTCCTTCAGCTGCACGGCATTTGTCCTCACACGCACCAGGCTCCTGTCCTCCTCTCCTCTTCCTGACATTCTTTGATGCTCCCAGCAGACGGCTGCACACGCTCAGTGCCACCTGCCCATTGGGAAAAACCAGAGAGTGGAAGCAGTGGAGCGCCGGGTGAAGGGGGCCGACGCAGGAGCCAGGCAGCCCGAGTTTGACTCTTGACTCCATCCTTTGTCAGCCAAGTGATCGGAGCCAGCTCCCTTCCCCCTCTTCTGAGGGTTAGCAGAGCCCCAGCCCCAGAGGTTACCCTGAGGGTCAAATAAGCGTATAGGCGTAGAGTACCTAGCATACAGCCAGCACTCAGTAAATGCTAGCCATTAGTTCTGGTTGTCAGTTTCACATCCGGAAACCAGGGTGTTGCTGCGCTCGGATATGAATGCCCCCTTTTTCTTGTAGTGAAAGTGACATCAAGCAGCTCTGGTTACGGCTGAGGAAGGACGAACCTCACTTACTGTCCAACTTTGAGGATTTCCTGACCAGGACCTTCGCGCAGCTCCAAGAAGCTCACGAGGAGAAGAACGAACTGGAGTGTGCCCTGAAAAAGTAGGTCCCGTCCAGCCATTGGCTGTACACGTGTGGGAGAAGCAGAAGCGTGAAGTGTGCTTTCTCACTCCGTGAGGCCTCCCTGTTGCGGTCTGCCAGCGTGGGCACGGGGCCTGTGGCTGTCGTGGAATGTGTGTTTTTAAGCCCTTGCTCACATCGATCAGGTCTTCACCATAGCCTAGGCACTCCTTAAACATATACACCGGCTCATTTCGACTATTCATTGTTATGCCCATTTTATAGACAAAGACATCGTGGTTCTAAGGGGTGAATGACATGCCCTGAACATACAGCTTGTAAGTGGCAGAGCCAGCCCTCCGAGCAAGATAGCCCGGCTCCGAGACTGGTTGGAAAACCTCTGTCCCTGCAATTAGACAGTGAGGCCCCGACACCCCAGGGCTGCCCCCCACCTGCAGGCCCCAGCCCTGGGCCCCACTGAGTCCCCTCCTGACCACTCCCTGAACCCTTACAGCCTTACCTCAGTCCTGCTGCCTCCTGGCCACCAGGGCCTCTGCAGTCATTCGTGATTTCTAGTTCTCTTCGAGGAGGCAGCCCCAGCAAGGTGAGCTCAGACCTGAAGCCTGGCGTAGCCAGCCTGTGCCGCAGACGTGGGGCACGAACATGGATGTTCATCCCGCTGTGGGAACAGGTGCTGCGCGTGTCGGTAGTCCTCACATGCACTTGGCGATGGGAGCTCGCACTTGGTGAAACACGGTGGAACTAAGGATGTTCATTATCCTGAAGGCGCAGCCAAAATGCAGGGCTGGGTCTGGATGGCCCTTGGAAGCGGTCCTCCGGGTAATTCTGCCATGTGCTCTCATCCCACCCAGAGATCACTCCCTGCACAGAGTCCTTGACTGTTCCAACACAGACCATGCGCCCTTCCTTGCAAAACTCCTGGTGCCCAGCGCTGCCTCCTGGGGGTAGGGCTTCAGCGTCCAGGAAGCTAGACTTCGGCGTCCCCGCTGACATGGCCTTGGTGGAAAGCACACAGGCCCTGATTTAGAAGGAGTCCCCCACGTGTCTTACCGCATAGATCCGCTATCCACACATTGCCCTGAGTTCCTTTGCTTCTCCTGCTTCCTCCAGATCAACTCCAAAAAGAGCTTGTTGGGGTCCACTGGGTATACACAGGTCTGGAAAAAAAGGACCTTCAGGAGCCTGAGTTATGAGGAAGCTGTGGCCAAGTAGTGCTGGGGAGAGCACGGTTTGGCTGGAGGAGAATCATGAGCATTCCTGGGAGAGGCTCCTGAACTTCAGAGAAAGGAAAGGTGGAGGGTTTATCTCCACACGGCTTTTAGCTGATGAATCTGTGAGTCAGGACAGATCGGAATTTACGTCTTGGCTCTGCCACTCACTAGCTGTGTGACTCAGGCTAAGGTCTTCAACCTCTCTGAGTCTCGGCTTCCTTATGCATAACATAGGGATGAAAACAAAATCAATATTGGATGCATGTTAAAGTAATGATCCTTATTATTTTAAGTAAGTCTGTTTGTCAGTCTTAGAGGATTCGCTGGCGCAAGTGGAGCGTTTGAGCCTTGGTACGAGCTGGGGTGAACTTCAAAGTTCCCTCTGTCTTTCCAGACAACATGGTGTAGAGCCAGCAGCCTTGGCATCACCTGGAAATTTCTTAGGAATGCACAATCTCAAGCCTCCCCCCACCCCTACTAAGTCTGCGTTGTGATAAGATGTCCAGGTGCTTCGTGTGCGATTTGAGAAGTGGGGAGCTGAGAATCAGCTTTGCACTTAAGTCACGTGTGGCTCTGCGACCAGCTAGCTCTGTGACCTTGCTCAAGTCTCTCGGCCTCTGTGAGCCTTGGTTTTCTCACCTGTATTCATTTCTGACCCTCCCTGCACCCCCACTTTCCTCTGACCCCAGCGTTGATCACCCCAAGGGGCTACACAGTCAGGTAGCACATTGCAGACAGGAGGGTACTCTTTGATTGAAGGAGGATGGGAGTGGTCACAGCCTAGATGGGCAGCAGTGACCCAACTCACAGCCCGGAATCTTTGCTGCAGGGTGCTTATCTGCTGGCCTGCACTCCCACAAGGAGAAAGCCATGCCTTGCCTTGTTGCAGAGCCGGTGAGCCCTCATGTTCACCCTGAAGTGGCCTCTTTGAGTGATTTGCCCTAATTTAGTGATTATTAAAAAGGTCTTGAGAGGAAAGTCAAGGTCACTCTCGCCTGTATGCGCAAAACAAGCTTGGCCATAGGTTTCAGTCGTCCATACCCATCCTCCACTGATATCCCTGCTACATGCACCTGCGCTGGGTCAGCTGAGGGGTCCCACTCCTGGCTGGGCAACTGTGGTAGGACTGGGGATTCTCGGGGATCCCTGGCCAGTGCCACTTCAGGGGTGTTCTCTGGGTGCAAAACCGGAGACCCGCAGGCTACAGTTGAGCAGAGCACTAAAACAGAAGGCAGGAGAAACTTGAGCTCTGGTCCAAGGTTGCTGTGTGACCTCGGGCAACTAGCTTTTCCTCTCTGTGCATCAGTTTTCTTACTGGCAACATGAGAAAACAGGTTTGGCGTTTTTCATACTTTTTCTGACTGTGATTCATTAGAAGAAATGCATTTGGCTTTGCAAGTCCCAGACACGTCGATGTTAACATAACTGAAAATTTCCCGAAATGGAGCTCACCCTTACTACATGTGACATACTCTGACATTCTCTATTAAAGTCTCTTTTATTCTCTTGTCTTCTATGAAAGAAACAAAAAGGCTGGTCATATCCAGCTTCTGGATTATGACTGGACCAGATGATCTGTAAGGGTCCTCGGAGCTCAGCAGTCAAAGAAGAAACTGGAAACTCTGACAGCATCTAGAATATTTAAATGGGAGTCTTGACAGATAACCCAGGGTGAGGTTAAGTGACTCAGAAACATCTTCTAGGAGATGAGTTGGGGAGTTTGGGGCTGTGTGTTTCCAGGCATCAGAGAGGGAGAGCCCTTGGAAATGGCCTGATTCAGGCTGGAACTGGGGGGATCCTGACTACTGTCTGAACATCTCCCAAGCTCCTCCATGGGCTGGCTTTTTAGTGCAAGGTATGTCATTTCAACTCCACCCAGAGAATGAGCCCCTGTCCCAGACAGGGCTCTTGTCATTGCTGCTGGGCATTCGGCCTGGGCCTCCGGGGACCCAGGACGCTGTCACTCTTGCTCACCTGTAAGAAGCGCTTGCTCTGTGCCTGGCTCTAAGTTAAGCACATAGAACTCAGAGTCCCCATCTTCGGGGAGTTGATGATCACACTGATAAGGTCGAGCTCCTACCCATAAAAATTCTGCCACGAAGCTGAGCTGAGAATTCCTGTACCGTGGAGAAGCCAGATGGTGTTGCCATTGGGGCCCCAGAGGCTTTTCTTTCCTCCTCCTTTTGCAGACCACACATCTTGTTTCTGTCTCCAGTGGAGCCCAGAGAAGATGGGAATGAGAGCGGGGGGTGGGGGCGGATCCTGCCCCCAAGGTTAGAGTTTTGTTGCCCTAAGTGAACCAGGTCCACTCCAGCTTCCCTTCAGGGTCTCTCCAGGTTCTGTGGTGGAGGAGTCTGCAGCAGGCTCGAGTGCCTGGGGAAAGCTCTGGATAGCTCCTGTCCTGAGACCAGCCTCAGGGGGCCTCCATAGCTCATTGCCCTGGATTGTTCGGTTTGGTTTGGGTTTTACCTGCATACTGGGAAGAGGGGAAAGAGGCCAGTCTGGGAGCGCTCAGTCTCCCACCTTCTTGTTTTGGGGTGGCGGTTGGGTCAGAATCCTGGGTACAGTGTTCACCTTGGTTGTATGTCCACCGGGAAGTAGCCACAGCCTCTTGGTGGGGACAAAGTAAAATGCAGGAATGTCGGGCTGAAGCCCGGTTCTCCTGCTGAACTTCAGAATCTGGAGGAGCCTTCACATGTCTCCCAGGGCGTGGAGGCTAGACTGTAACGGAGCAGAGTTCCCTTGTGTTCACCACACAGGAGCTTGGAGAACTTTACATTTAGCAGGACGCTTACAGTTTAGGCTTAGGAAGAACTTCAGGCCATCAGAGTTACTGATTCCTGGGGCGCCTGGGTGGCTCAGTTAGTTAAGCATCTGCCTTTGGCTCAGGTCATGATCTGGGAGTCTCAGGATGGAGTCCCACATCGGCTCCCTGCCTAGCAGGAAGCCTGCTTCTCCCTCTCTCTCTGCCCCTCCCCTGCCCATGCTCATGCATGTGCTTTCTCTCCAACAAATAAAACTAATCTTAAAAAAAAAAAAAAGACAATTACAGATTCCATTGCCATGGAAAACATCTTTCCAATTATCTTTCCCTGGAAGACAAAAACAAAAAAACAAAGCTTCAGCTCTCCCAGGTATGTAGAGTGATACTGTCAAGCAGTCTCTATGCCCAGTGTGGAGCCCAGCACCGGGCTCTGTCTCACAACCCTGAGATCATGACCTGAGCCGAAATCAAGAGTCGGATGCTTAATCGACTGAGCCACCCAGACGCCCTGGGATTCTGACTTTTGACCAGATTTGGTATCTGCTGAATACATGGCTCTCGATGGGTTCTTTACCAGGATCTAACCCTGAGACTGGGGTTAAGGATGACTTAGGTAGTGTCTGGAGAGTGCTTTGAGGTCTTGGAAGAAAAGTGCTTTCTAGATCAAAGGGAGGCCGTGGGCCATGCTCAGTCATCTGCCACTCAGCTCAGCATCCTGGGAAGACCACCCAGGCTGCCTCTTCGCGTCACCCAGGGACCACACTTGGCTTTGACAAACTCAGCAACACTCCCCAGGGCCTTGTGGGAATCAGTTCCTCATCTGCACAGTCTTTCTTGTCCAGCTGAGTCAGGCCTCGGGCACTTTCCTGGGAGCCCGGGGCTCCTGCCCAGCCCCTCTCCAGGCACTTGCTGTCTAGAGTGATGACCCTAGGCTCTGAGATGGTGTCCAGACCTGGGGGGAATGTGTCTTACAGCCTGTCTAGGCTACTGGCTGCCCTGCTATAGCCTGAGAATTGGGATTCTGTAAGATGAAGCTGCAGAGACAT